CAAACAATCAGTTAATTAATTTGATTGATTAATATACCTCTGAACATATTTTAAAAGTAATACATATGTTGTCTAAAGTGGAGCCCTGTAACCCCTAACCCTTAAGCAAGGGGCCCAAAATCTCCAAGCTGTACTGCTGAATGCCGGATGTGTATATCTATCTTAGCATGTGCAAATTAGCAGGTTCTGGAGACAGAAAAGGCACCTCTGAAGCAGAAAAAGATGGAGCTCTTAGAGGCAGGGTTGACAGTATGTGGGGAAGGCCAGTTCATATAGTCAAGGCTATGGTCTTCCCAGTTGCAATGTATGGCTGTGAAAGCTGGACCACAAGGAAGGCAGAGAGTTGAAGAATTGAGGCCTTTGAATTGTGGTGCTGGAGAAGACTCCTGTGAGTCCCTTGGACTGCAAGGAGATCAATCCAGTCAGTCTTAGAGGAGAACAACCCTGACTGCTCTTTAGAAGGCCAGATACTGAAGATGAAACTCAAATACTTTCGCCAAATACTTTGGAGAAGGAAGGACTCACTGGAGAAGACCCTAATGCTGGGAACAACTGATGGCAAAAGAAGGGGACAGCAGAGGAGGAGGTGGCAAGATGGAGTCAGTGTGAGCTTAGGTGGACTACAGGGGATAGTGGAGGACAGGAGAGCATGGAGGAATGTTGTCCATGGGGTAGCAATGGGTCAGACGCGACTTGGTAAACAACAACAACAACTTCTGTTAATGCATCTCAAAATAGCATTTGCCCTTTTGGCAGCTGCATCCCATTGTTGGCTCAGGTTTAGCCTATTGCCCACAATTACTCCAAGATCCTTTTCTTGTTCAGTTCTGTTAAGCCACGTATTCCCCATCTTGTATCAATGTCTTTGGTTTCTTTTTCCTAGGTGGACTTGGCACTTGTCCTTCCTGGATTTCATTCTGTTGGTTTCAGCCCAGTGTTCAAGTTTATCAAGATCTCCTTGGATCTTTATTCTGTCTTCTAGGGTGTTTGCTATTCCACCCAGTTTTGTATCAGCTGCAAATTTGATTATCTTGTACTTCCTCATCTAAATCATTAATAAAGATGTTGAAGAGCACTGGGCCCAGAACCAAACCCTGTGGCACCCTACTA